TGAAGAGAGCCTGTAAACATCAGAAGGGTTAAATGTAACCACATCCTTCACAGAATAGTCAGCAAAGTTGAGGATTATGTCTGCAATCTCTGTGGGCAGAGCAGGATGGGAAGATTTGAGCAAGGCGCGGACTTCCCCAACATCAGCTGGGGAAGGGGAGTAAGGGATACTATTATCGAGACTTTCAGTGCGGATGTCGGAAGAGGCCCCTGCAGCTGGATGCATTGATGGTTCGCGTGGTACCGCAGCAGACACTTCTGGTGTGCCCAAGATGTATTTCCAAATAAAATTCGACATTGCAATGATAATGGCCTTATAAATATAGTAGATAAGGAGACACTTGGTTAGTCAAAAGGTTTAACTGCCTAAGGTGTTAGCCAAAATTGATAACCGTAGATGGCTGGAGAGCATAGAGCGATCCGAAACAAAATATCTTGCTTGCAGAATATATCGGTGTGTTCTAATGGTGTCTGTGGAAGTTGAAGCGATGACGTTTACAGAAGCCAACCTTGGAAAGTTCATAGGCACCAGCAGGGATGATATCACATGATTGCCTGTCTCCAAATATTTTTTTTGTGGTTGATTCCTTCTGTCTACTCTTTGTTATTATTGTTGTTTGATTTAGTTAACGTTATTTTGAATATATTTAGCTAATACCAGAAGGGTGATGGTGGCGTAATATGAGATTGATTCTGCTCGGATAGAAGAAGATCGGGGATTGATAATTCGATCGTAATTGTGACTTTTGATAAATTAAGCTTAAACCGAACGTCGGCTTCTCAGATAAAGAGCCAGTTTACTTGGTATATATATAATTTCTCAATATCTTTTCCCCCTTACTGTCACATGCTTGGTCAGTGTAAGGCGTATGTATGTATGCTAATAACAGGGGAAGAATATAAAGATAAGTGGCATATTGTTCGGAGGAATAGTAGCTACCATAATTACAGTCATTACTACTCTGCACAAGGTGGGAAGAATATCAATTTGATAGGAGTTGAAAAAATTTTCCCCCCCTCGAATATGGTATTTAGCAAATTTAATACCCTCTGCTGTAGTAGCAGTCTCATTAGAGTGATTGGGTTTAGAAGTAACAATCGGAGATGTAGGGATCAAGCCCCTAATTTTGCAAATGGGAGAGTACATTCAGATTTCTCCAATAATGGATCCAGGTCCAGTGGATATACTAGCTTTTCAACAAGAATTGCTAATTTTAATTTGCAAACTTTGATTCCGTGGGTTAATAATATTCATGGCTATACGCATTCAATTCCAGGACGACGATCCTTTCTAAGCAGATCTTCTCTACCCTCATCAAATCAGCAAGTGGAGACACCTCCCCTGTCTGGAAAAAGAGAATTACAACTGGCATTTATCATGCAGAATCCCACCGGGCAGCTCTACAATCTTTCCCATCACGATCTGGTTGATTTCAACACCATTGAGAGGAGAGTCACCCTGAAGGAAGATAAACCCACACCCTTTATACAGTCTCTGGGCAGCTTGGTTCTTCGCTTCCACGAAGAGACCTATGTTTGCTCTTGTTGCACGCATAGACGTAGCTTCCGCCCGCACAGCCTCGATGCTTGCTTGCACAAGTCTTCGTCCGAGCCCTTGCCTCCTTGCATCAATTAGAACAAACATGGAAAAGGCTACGTAAGCAGCCTCATAGCCCACAATTGCTGCGGGTTC